TACAGAGCTGTCCCCATGGCCCTGTGTGTGTCTCCATGGAGCTGTGTCTCCACATCCCCTAATCCTGTGTCCCCATGGCCCTCTGTCCCCTGTCCCCATGACCCTCTGTCCCCTGTCCCCACATCCCCTAATCCTGTGTCCCCATGGCCCTCTGTCCCCTGTCCCCACATCCCCTGTGTCCCCATGGCCCTCTGTCCCCTGTCCCCACATCCCCTGTGTCCCCATGGTCCCGTGTCCCCTGTCCCCACATCCCCTAATCCTGTGTCCCCATGGTCCCGTGTCCCCTGTCCCCATGGCCTCTAATCCTGAGTCTCCATGACCCTCTGTCCCCTGTCCCCACATCCCCTAATCCTGTGTCCCCATGGCCCTCTGTCCCCTGTCCCCACAACCCCTAATCCTGTGTCCCCATGGCCCTCTGTCCCCTGTCCCCACATCCCCTAATCCTGTGTCCCCATGGCCCTCTGTCCCCTGTCCCCACAACCCCTAATCCTGTGTCCCCATGGCCCTCTGTCCCCACATCCCCTGTGTCCCCATGGTCCCCTGTACCCACATCCCCTAATCCTGTGTCCCCCTGCCCTCTCTGTCCCCAGCCCCTTGTGTCCCCTGGTTGGTGTCCCCTGTCTCATGTCCTGTGTCCCCTGCCCCCTGCCCGGTGTCCCCCTGGCCCTGTCCCCTGTCCTGTGTCCCCTGTCCCATGTCCTGTGTCCCCTGTCCCCTGTCCTGGTGTCCCCCGGCCCTGTCCCCTGTCCTGTGTCCCCTGTTCCCTTCCCTGTGTCCTCCCAGTCCCTGTCCTCTGTCCTGTGTCCCCTGTCCTGTGTCCCCTGTCCCTGTCCTGGTGTCCCCTGTCCCGTGTCCCATGTCCTGTGTCCCCTGTCCCCTTCCTGGTGTCCCCCTGGGCCTGTCCCCTGTCCTGTGTCCCCTGTCCCCTTCCTGGTGTCCCCCTGGCCCTGTCCCATGTCCTGTGTCCCCTGTCCCCTTCCTGGTGTCCCCCCAGCCCTGTCCCCTGTCCTGTGTCCCCTGTCCTGTGTCCCCTGTCCCCTTCCTGGTGTCCCCCCAGCCCTGTCCCCTGTCCCCTGTCCTGTGTCCCTGTCCCTTCCTGGTGTCCCCTGCATGTCCTGTGTCCTCTGTCCCATGTCCTGTGTCCCCTGCCCCCTGCCTGGTGTCCCCTCAGCCCTGTGCCTCTGTCCATGTCCTGTGTCCCTGTCCTTCCTGGTGTCCCCTGGCCCTGTCCTGTCCTGTGTCCCTGTCCCTTCCAGTGTCCCCTGGCCCTGTCCCATGTCCTGTGTCCCCTGTCCTGTGTCCCCTGTCCCCTTCCTGGTGTCCCCCTGACCCTGTCCCCTGTCCTGTGTCCCCTGTCCCCTTCCTGGTGCCCCCCGGGCCCTGTCCCCTGTCCCATGTCCTGTGTCCCCTGTCCCCTTCCTGGTGTCCCCCCAGCCCTGTGCCCTCTGTCCCACATCCTGTGTCCCCTGTCCCCTTCCTGGTGTCCCCCTGGCCCTGTGCCCTCTGTCCCATGTCCTGTGTCCCCTGTTCCCTGCCTGGTGTCCCCCTGGCCCTGTCCCCTGTCCTGTGTCCCCTGTCCCTTCCTGGTGTCCCCCCAGCCCTGTCCCCTGTCCTGTGTCCCCTGTCCCCTGTCCTGTGTCCCCTGTCCCCTTCCTGGTGTCCCCCCAGCCCTGTCCCCTGTCCTGTGTCCCCTGTCCCCTGCCCGGTGTCCCCCTGACCCTGTGCCCTCTGTCCCATGTCCTGTGTCCCCTGCCCCCTGCCCGGTGTCCCCCCAGCCCTGTGCCCCCTGTCCCCTGTCCTGTGTCCCCTGTCCCCTTCCTGGTGTCCCCCTGGCCCTGTCCCATATCCTGTGTCCCCTGTCCCCTTCCGGTGTCCCCCCAGCCCTGTGCCCTCTGTCCCATGTCCTGTGTCCCCTGTCCCCTTCCCGGTGTCCCCCCCAGCCCTGTCCCACATCCTGTGTCCCCTGTCCCCTGTCCTGTGTCCCCTGTCCCCTCCCCAAGCGGCCCTACCACAGCACCACCCCCACCTGAGTGTCCCCACCACTTCCAGGACACGTCACGGGGGACAAGGGTGACACCCTGGATCCGGGACCCCCCTGGGGACATCGCCCACCGCAGGGACATCGGGGAGGGGACACCAGCTGAGGGCAGCAGGTCACAGGTATAAATATTGGCTAAATAGATTTATTTTCATACAAAGAATACACAGGTCCCCCCCCCCCCTCAGGGACACCCTGACCCCGGGGGACACCCCAAGATGTCCCCATCCACCACCTCCATGGGTTCCCCTGGCAGGATCCGTCCCCATTCCCAGGTTTTGGTGACAACACTGGGTGCCATCCCTGTCCCCTCTGGGGCCACCTGGGTGCCCGTACCTACCTCAGGGCACCTCGTCACCGCCACCCTGTCCTGGGGGACACCCCCAGACTCGTCCCCTGCTCCTTTCCTGGGACATCTGCAGACATTTTGGGGTCCCCCCCCGTGCCCTAATACTGTAGCTGGTCCAGACACCCCTCCCCTCCCCTCCCCTCCCCCCGCCGTATGTACAGGCTGGATAAAAGAAGAAAATACAGATATTTATAGGGGGGGGACAAAACACCCCCCTGCCCCCCCTCCCCCAGAGTGTCCCCTGTGTCCCCATCCCGGGCTTTCACTGCCAGCCCATCCTGTCAAACATTCCCAGGATGGAGGTGGCCGGTCCTGCCCCACCCCGGGGCCGGGCCTCAGTTTCCCCGTTGTCGGACGACGATGACGATGGAAGAGGAGCCACAGCCACGGCCACCCCGTGGGGACAAAGCCACGGCCACGAGCCCCCAGGGGACACGGGATGAGAGCTGGAGGCACCCTGGAGGCACCCTGCCCGTGGCCACCCCACCCGCCCGCGTGGCAGGACGGGAGGTGGCCGAGGAGCTCCGGCGCTCGCGTCCCTCCCGCTCAGCTGCGCTTGGTGACCATCTGCCGGTCCCTCTTCTTCTTCTCCATCAGCCTGCCGAGGGAGCAGGGTGGGGGCTTTAGAGACCATTCCCCACGAGAGGGAGCACCCACGGGCACGGGCTCTGGGGACACTCACTTGCGGTTGCGGACCTCGGTGAGCTCCATGAGCCGCTCCTGGGCCGCCCGCAGCTCGTCCAGGCGCTGCTGGTAGCGGGAGTCGCAGCCGTTGGCGCGCTCGTAGCTGGAGACCTGGCTGGAGAGCTCGCTGGCGCGGTCCCGCAGCTGCTGGATGGACGAGTAGAGGTTCTCCTCGTCTTCCTCCTGCCCCCGAAGCAAAGGGGTGAGGCGGGGAGGGGCAAGGGGGGGCACCCCGAGATGGGAGCTCCTCGTTCGGGTCGGGGAAACGGAGGTAACGGGGGCCACCTGCCTTGGCGTTGATGATCTCGATGTGGATGAGGAGGGAGGCGAGTTCCAGGTCCTCGGTGTAGCTGTTCTTCAACGGCACCGAGCGGTAGCCTGGACACAGCACCACGACAGAGCTCAGGGCCACGGCAGGGGCCGAGCCCCTCAGCACGGCCAGCAACCCGAGAGATGATGAGGGTGAGGATGATGATGGTTGCAGGGGGGTTGGACTTGATGACCCATAAAGGTCCCTTTCAACCCAAACCCTTCTGTGATTTCATGACTCTCTGATGATGATGATGATTGCAAGGGTTTGCAGTAGTTGACCCAATAAAGGTCCCTTTCAACCCAAACCCTTCTATGATTTCATGACTTGACGATGGAGACGATGATGATGGAGATGATGATTGCAAAGGTCTGGACTAGTTGACCCAATGAAGGTCCCTTTCAACCCAAACCCTTCTATGATTTCATGACTTGATGATGGAGATGATGACTGCAAAGGTCTGGACTAGTTGACCATTAAAAGTCCTTTCCAACCCAAACCCTTCTATGATTTCATGACTTGATGATGGAGACGATGATGATGGAGATGATGATTGCAAAGGTCTGGACTAGCTGACCATTACAAGCCCTTTCCAACCCAAACCCTTCAATGATTCCATGACTTGATGATGGAGACGATGATGATGGAGATGATGATTGCAAAGGTCTGGACTAGCTGACCATTAAAAGTCCTTTCCAACCCAAACCCTTCTATGATTTCATGACTTGACGACGGAGACAATGATGCTGGAGATGATGATTGCAAAGGTCTGGACTAGTTGACCATTACAAGCCCTTTCCAACCCAAACCCTTCAATGATTCCATGACTTGATGATGGAGATGACCTTTAAAGGTCCCTTCCAACCCAAACCCTTCCACGATTCCCTGACCACGAGGGAGGTGATGCCGACGCCGGTGGAAGGCCCATACCTGTTTTGAGGCCCTTGACGGGGAAGGTGGCCTGTGCCAAGAAGTTGGGGTCACTGAACATGTCCTCCTCGTACACCACGAAGCGCAGGAAGGCGAACTCGGGGTTGTTGATGTCGAAGACGAACTGCTTGAAGAGCCACACGGGGTTGAAGCCGTTGTCAGCTGTGGGGGACAGCGGGAAGGGTCAGAGCTGGGCTGGCCACATGTCCATCACCCACGTGGCCCTGGCACCCTCAGGTCCCCTCCCAGGGCACCCCTCCAGTCCCTCACCCACGACATCCGTCTTGTTCTTGCTGTTGTCGTACTCGGAGCCGCAAACCTCCACCTCCACGAAGGGGCACACGATGCTCCGGCCGTTCTTGGGCAGGTGCCGGGCGCCCAGGATCTGTGGGGGGGAACGGGAAGGGGCAGCAGGGTGAGGAGGGACCTCCAGGAAGGAACCAGCTCCACCTGGCTGGTAACACCCACTCCAAAACGGAAGGGCCGAGTCCCACCTCGGCGGTGGTCACCTCGGGGTGGTCGTTGCCCACTTGCCTGCAGCTGGACCGTGATGGGCTCCACGATCTTCAGGCTGTTCTTGTCGAAGGGGTCGAAGGTCTCGTCCCTCATGATGTCGGGCTGGAGGACGTACCCGCTGCGGCCCCCGAGCATGAAGAGCGCCTGGTTCAGCTGCATGGGTTTGTCTGCGGCCGTGGGACAGAGCAGGGCTCAGCCCTGGGGCTCGGGGGCCTCCTCGAGGTCCTTGGGAGGAGGGTCCTGCCTTGGCAAACCCAACTAAGAGCCCCCAAGCCTGGCTGGAGCTGGGATGAAGCCGGGCTTTGGATGAAGCGCCCAAGGATTGTATGGAGGTGCCCCCATCGGGATGAGGGAAAAGGATGGAGAGTTCATCCAAATCATCTCCTGTGCCCCCATTGGGATGAGGGAAAGGATGGAGAGATCATCCAAACCATCTCCTGTGTCCCCATTGGGATGAGGGAAAAGGATGGAGAGATCATCCAAACCATCTCCTGTGTCCCCATCATCCAAACCATCTCCTGTGTCCCCATCAGGATGAGGGAAAAGGATGGAGAGCTCATCCAAATCATCTCCTGTGTCCCCATCGGGATGGGGGAAAAGGATGGAGAGATCATCCAAATCATCTCCTGTGTCCCCATTGGGATGAGGGAAAAGGATGATCATCCAAACCACCTCCTGTGTCCCCATCAGGATGAGGGAAAAGGATGGAGAGCTCATCCAAATCATCTCCTGTGTCCCCATTGGGATGAGGGAAAAGGATGGAGAGATCATCCAAACCATCTCCTGTGTCCCCATTAGGATGGGGGAAAAGGATGGAGAGATCATCCAAACCATCTCCTGTGTCCCCATTGGGATGAGGGAAAAGGATGGAGAGATCATCCAAACCATCTCCTGTGTCCCCATTGGGATGAGGGAAACGGATGGAGAGATCATCCAAATCATCTCCTGTGTCCCCATCAGGATGGGGGCAAAGGATGGAGAGATCATCCAAACCATCTCCTGTGTCCCCATCGGGATGAGGGAAAAGGATGGAGAGCTCATCCAAACCATATCCTGTGTCCCCATCAGGATGAGGGAACAGGATGGAGAGATCACCCAAACCACCTCCAACAAGACCCCAGTGCAGGGATGCTATGGGAGATCCCAAGGCTGGAGAGATCACCCAAACCACCTCCACCAAGACTCAGGGCAGAGCTATGGGAGATGATGATCCCCATTAGGATGATGGCCAAGGTTGGAGAGATCACCCAAACCACCTCCACCAAGACCCAGGGCAGAGCTATGGGAGATGACAATCCCATCAGGATGATGCCCAAGGCTGGAGAGATCCCATCAGGATGATGCCCAAGGTTGGAGTGATCACCCAAACCACCTCCACCAAGACCCAGGGCAGAGCTATGGGAGATGACAATCCCATCAGGATGATGCCCAAGGTTGGAGTGATCACCCAAACCACCTCCACCAAGACCCAGGGCAGAGCTAGGGGAGATGATGATCCCATCAGGATGATGCCCAAGGTTGGAGTGATCACCCAAACCACCTCCACCAAGACCCAGGGCAGAGCCATGGGAGATGACAATCCCATCAGGATGATGCCCAAGGTTGGAGTGATCACCCAAACCACCTCCACCAAGACCCAGGGCAGAGCCATGTGAGATCACAATCCCATCAGGATGATGCCCAAGGTTGGAGTGGTCACCCAAACCACCTCCACCAAGACCCAGGGCAGAGCCATGCGAGATCACAATCCCATCAGGATGATGCCCAAGGTTGGAGTGATCACCCAAACCACCTCCAACAAGACCCAGGGCAGAGCTATGGGAGATGACAATCCCATCAGGATGATGCCCAAGGTTGGAGAGATGGGAGATGATGATCCCATTAGGATGATGCCCAAGGTTGGAGTGATCACCCAAACCACCTCCAACAAGACAACCCAGTCCAGAACCACCAGGGATAAAAACTCTGGGCATCACCCACAGTTCCAATCCCAACACCCCCCACCGTGGATCAGGATTTACCGGGCGTCTGGAAGTTGAGGGCCACGAGTTGGCTCCCGCAGATCCACATGGGCAGCGGGTCGTAGTTGGAGGAGTCCAGGCGCTGGCCCTTGGGATAGATCCGGCTCAGCTGGCGCCGGTTGTACTGCAGGAATTTCTTGCCCTTGCTGCGGTTGGCGTATTTCTCCGCCTTGGTCTCCGGGAAGGACGACATGTCCCGGTAACACGCCTTGTCCGTGCCGATCTCTGCAACAGCCGAGGGGACCGTCAGGAAAAGACTTTGGATGCTCTTCCTGCGCTCATCCCGTCCCAGATCCCGCTCTCCCGGCTCTTACTGTCCTCGTCGAACGGCACCGGGCGGCAGTAAACGACCAGCTCCGAGAGCTCCAGCGCGATCTTCTTCCTCCGCTCCATGATCTTCCCCTCCTGCATCTGCACCGGCAAAGCGGGAAAAGTTGCTCCCAGTTGCTCCCAGTTGCTCCCAGTGTGCGGGCCCAGCAGCTCCCAGTAACCCCCAGTAAGGTTCCGTTCACACCCGCTGGTAATCCCAGTCTATCCCAGCGCGATCCCAGTGTGATCCCAGCTACTCCCAGGATGGTTCCAGTCGCTTCCAGTATAATCCCAGTCACTCTCAATATGATTCCAGTTGACCCCAACATGGTCCCAGTTGGTCCCTGTCAACACTATCATGATCCCAGTATGATCCCAGTATGATCCTAGTTACTTCAGTCTATCCCAGTACGATCCCAGTATGATCCCAGTCACTTCCAGTCACTCCCAGTATGATTCCAGTTGACCCCAACATGGTCCCAGTTGCTCCCTGTCAATGCCATCATGTCCCAGTATGACCCCAGTATGATCCCAGTCCCTTCTCACCACTCCCAGTATGATCCTCATATGATCCCAGTATGATCCCAGTATGATCCTAGTCACAGTCACTCCCAGTATAACCCCAGTATGATCCCAGTCTTTTCCCACTGCTCCTAGTATGATCCCAGTCACTTGTAGTCACTCCCAGTACAATTCCAGTCACTTCCAGTCACTCCCAGTATCAACCCAGTCACTCCCACTATGATCCCAGTCACTTCCAGTCACTCCCAGTATGATGCCAGTCACTTCCAGTCACTCCCAGTATGATCCCAGTATGATCCCAGTCACTTCCAGTCACTCCCAGTATGATCCCAGTCACTTCTAGTCACTCCCAGTATGATCCCAGTCACTTCTAGTCAATCCCAGTATGATGCCAGTATGATCCCAGTCATTTCTAGTCAATCCCCGTATGATCCCAGTGACTTCTAGTCAATCCCAGTATGATGCCAGTATGATCCCAGTCACTTCTAGTCAATCCCAGTATGATTCCAGTTGCCCCCAATATGGTCCCAGTTGCTCCCTGTCAATGCCATCATGATCCCAGTATGATCCCAGTATGATCCCAGTATGATCCTAGTCACAGTCACTCCCAGTATAACCCCAGTATGATCCCAGTCTTTTCCCACCACTCCCAGTATGATCCCAGTCACTTGCAGTCACTCCCAGTACACGATCCCAGTCACTTCCAGTCACTTCCAGTCACTCCCAGTATCAACCCAGTCAATCCCAGTATGATCCCAGTCACTTCCAGTCACTCTCAGTATGATGCCAGTATGATCCCAGTCACTTCCAGTCAATCCCAGTATGATTCCAGTCACTTCTGGTCACTCCCAGTATGATCCCAGTATGATCCCAGTCACTTCTAGTCAATCCCAGTATGACTCCAGTCACTTCTAGTCAATCCCAGTATGATCCCAGTATGATCCCAGTCACTTCCAGTCACTCCCAGTATGATTCCAGTTGCTCCCAATATGGTCCCAGTTGCTCCCTGTCAATGCCATCATGATCCCAGTATGACCCCAGTATGATCCCAGTCACTTCCAGTCTATCCCAGTATGATCCCAGTATGATCCCAGTCACTTCCAGTCACTCCCAGTATGATCCCAGTATGACTCCCAGTCACGATCCCAGTCTGTCCTGTCAATCACGTATGATCCCAGTATGCTCCAGCTGATCCCAGTATGATCCTAGTCACTTCCAGTCATTCCCAGTATAACCCCAGTATGATCCCAGCCTTTTTCCACCACTCCCAGTATGATTCCAGTCACTTCCAGTCACTCCCAGTACAATTCCAGTCATGTCCAGTCACTCCCAGTATGATCCCAGCTGCCTCCAGCGTGGTTCCACTTTCTCCCAATATCAACCCAGTCACTCCCAGTATAATCCCAGTCACTTCCAGTCACTCCCAGTATGATCCCAGTATGATCCCAGTCACTTCCAGTCAATCCCAGTATGATCCCAGTATGATCCCAGTCACTTCCAGTCACTCCCAGTATGATCCCAGTCACTTCCAGTCACTCCCAGTATGATCCCAGTCACTTCCAGTCAAGCCCAGTATGATCCCAGTATGATCCCAGTATGATCCCAGTCACTTCCAGTCACTTCCAGTATGACCCCAGTATGATCCCAGTCACTTCCAGTCCCCAATTGCTCCAGTATCAGCATCCCAGTATGATCCCAGTCACTTCCAGTCACTTCCAGTATCATCCCAGTATGATCCCAGTCACTTCCAGTCACTCCCAGTATGATCCCAGTATGATCCCAGTCACTTCCAGTCACTCCCAGTATGATCCCAGTCACTTCCAGTCACTCCCAGTATGATCCCAGTATGATTCCAGTCACTTCCAGTCACTCCCAGTATGATCCCAGCTCGCCTCCCAGTCCTGATTCCACTTACTCCCAGTATCAACCCAGTCATTCTCAGTATGATCTCAGTCACTTCTAGTCAATCCCAGTATGATCCCAGTATGATCCCAGTCACTTCCAGTCACTCCCAGTATGATCCCAGTATGATCCCAGTCACTTCTAGTCACTCCCAGTATGATCCCAGTCACTTCCCATCACTCCCAATCATCCCAGTATGATCCCAGTCACTTCCCGTCACTCCCAGTATGATGCCAGTCACTTCCAGTCACTCCCACTATGATCCCAGTATGATCCCAGTCACTTCCAGTCACTCCCAGTATGATCCCAGTCACTTCCAGTCACTCCCAGTATGATCCCAGTCACTTCCCATCACTCCCATTATGATCCCAGCTGCCTCCAGCATCATTCCAGTTGTCCCCAGTACCACCCCAGTCCCTCCCAGAACGCCACCATTCGCTCCCAGCACCGTCCCAGTCGCTCCCAGCCCAAACCCTCCTCCTTTGGACACACCAGGCCCAATCCCCACAGCAAAGGACCCCTCCATCCTCCCCCCATTCCCATTCCCACCCCATTCCCATTCCCATTCCCATTCCCATTCCCACTCCCATTCCCATTCCCATTCCCATTCCCACTCCCATCCCATTCCCATTCCCACCCCATTCCCATTTCTGCTCCCATTCCCATTCCCATTCCCATTCCCATTCCCACTCCCATTCCCATCTCCCATTCCCACTCCCATTCCTCCCATTCCCACCATTCCCATTCCCACCCCATTCCCATTCCCATTCCACTCCCATTCCCATTCCCATTCCCATTCCCATTCACTCCCATTCCTCCCATTCCCATTCCACTCCATTCCCATTCCCATTCCCATTCCTCCCATTCCCACCCCATTCCCATTCCCACTCCCATTCCCATTCCATTCCCATTCCCACTCCCATTCCCACTCCCATTCCCATTCCACTCCCATTCCCACTCCCATTCCCATTCCATTCCCATTCCCATTCCCATTCCCATTCCCATTCCCATTCCCATTCCCATTCCCATTCCCATTCCCATTCCCATTCCCATTCCCACTCCCATTCCCATCCCATTCCCATCCCATTCCCATTCCCACTCCCATTCCCATTCCCATTCCCATTCCCATTCCCACTCCCATTCCCACTCCCACTCCCACTCCCATTCCCACTCCCATTCCCATTCCCACTCCCATTCCCATTCCCACTCCCATTCCCATTCCCACTCCCATTCCCACTCCCATTCCCACCCCATTCCCGCTCCCTCCTCACCCGAGCATCCGCGTTCTGCGTGGCCTCCCGGATCTTGGCCACCCACTCGCTGAGCTCCTCCTGCGTGTCGGCGGCCACGTCCAGGGCCTGGGCGGCGTGGGACATCTGCTGGGAATGGATGGTGAAGACAAAGGGTTTGGAGCTCCTGCCGTCTTTGGAGATCACTACAAGGACACCAGAGGGGAGGGGGGGCTTTACTCGAGGGCGTTCCCGAGGGATGGGAACCATCCAGCACTCCCACCAGCCCCTCACCCGCCGCCCAGCCGGGTTTGGGTGCGTGGATCCGTGATTTCCAGGCCCAAACGCGCTTGGAGCCAGGGGGAAACGCCCCTGGATCATCTGGAGGTCCCAGCTCCTTGGAATTCCACCCCCCCCCAAGTCAGCTCCAACCTCCGAATTCCTCCCAGATCGGTCCCAACACTTCCAAATTTCTCCCAGATCAGTCCCGACCTCTGAATTCTCCCAGATCAGTCCCGACCTCTGAATTCTCCCAAATCAGTCCCGACCTCTGAATTCTCCCAGATCAGTCCCAACCTCTGAATTCTCCCAGATCAGTCCCAACCTCTGAATTCTCCCAGATCAGTCCCGACCTCTGAATTCCCCCAGATCAGTCCCGACCTCTGAATTCTCCCAAATCAGTCCCGACCTCTGAATTCTCTCAGATCAGTCCTGACCTCTGAATTTTCCCAAATCAGTCCCAACTCCTCAGAATTCCCCCAGATCAGTCCCAACCTCTGAATTCTCCCAAATCAGTCCCGACCTCTGAATTCTCCCAAATCAGTCCCGACCTCTGAATTCCCCCAAATCAGTCCCAACTCCTCAGAATTCCCCCAGATCAGTCCCAACCTCTGAATTCTCCCAAATCAGTCCCAACCTCTGAATTCTCCCACGTCAGTCCCGACCTCTGAATTCTCCCAGATCAGTCCCGACCTCTGAATTCTCCCACGTCAGTCCCGACCTCTGAATTCTCCCAGATCAGTCCCAGCTCCTCAGAATTCTCCTCAGATCAGTCCCGACCTCTGAATTCCCCCAGATCAGTCCCAACTCCTCAGAATTCCCCAGATCAGTCCCAACTCCTCAGAATTCCCCCAAATCAGTCCCAACTCCTCAGAATTCCCCTCAAATCAGTCCCAACTCCTCAGAATTCCCCTCAAATCAGTCCCAACTCCTCAGAATTCCCCTCAAATCAGTCCCAACTCCTCAGAATTCCCCTCAAATCAGTCCCAACTCCTCGGAATTACCCCCATATCAGTGAGTAGGGAACTCACCGACGTGGCAGGACGGGACGTCGATGAATCCCTTCAGGAAGTTCCCCAGGGGGCTGTTTTCCGAGGACTGGAAGAGAGGAAGGAATAAGGGAGATGGGAGAGGCCTGTGGGGCCAGGCCTGGTGACAGCTCCGCTTGGGAGCCACCACCCAGGTCTCCCAGTCAGCCAAAACTGAGGAAAAATGGGAAAAAACCACCCAGGAGCATCACCCGGACACTGGATAAGGGTTTGGGTTGGCACAGGGCCAAGAGCATCCCCCAGCCCCTGGATAAGGATCTGAGCTGGAGCAGGACCAGGAGCATCTCCCAGCCTTAGGATAAGGGTCTGGGTTGGAGCAGAGCTGGAAGTAACTCTCATTCTTAGGATAAGGGTCTGGGCTGGAGCAGAGCTGGAAGTAACTCTCATCCTAGGATAAGGATCTGGGCTGGAATAACCCTCATTCTAGGATAAGGATTTGGGTTGGAGCAGGACCATGATAAAGATCTGGGCTGGAGCAGCACCAGGAGCATCCCCCAGCCCCTGGATAAGGATCTGGGCTGGAGCAGCACCAGGAACATCCCCCAGCCCCTGGATAAGGATCCAGGCTGGAGTAGTTCCAGGAACATCCCCCAGCCCCTGGATAAGAGTCGGGGCTTGAGCAGCACTAGGAGCATCCCCCAGTCCCTGGATAAGAGCTGGAGCAGCACCGGGAGCATCCCCCAGCCCCTGGATAAGGATCGGGGTTTGAGCAGCACCGGGAGCATCCCCCAGCCCCTGGATAAAAGCTGGTGCAGCACCAGGAGCATCCCCCAGCCCCTGGATAAGGATCGGGGCTGGAGCAGCACCAGGAGCATCCCCCAGCCTTAGGATAAGGGTCTGGGTTGGAGCAGGGCTGGAAGTAACCCTCATCCTAGGTAAGGATCTGGGTTGGAGCAGAACCATGATAAGGATCCGGGCTGGAGCAGCACCGGGAGCATCCCCCAGCCCCTGGATAAGGATCGGGGTTTGAGCAGCACCGGGAGCACCCCCCAGCCCCTGGATAAGGATCTGGGCTGGAGCAGCACCAGGACCATCCCCCAGCCCCTGGATAAGGATCTGGGCTGGAGCAGCACCGGGAGGATCCCCCAGCCCCTGGATAAGGATCTGAGCTGGAGCAGCACCAGGAACATCCCCCAGCCCCTGGATAAGAATCGGGGCTGGAGCAGCACCAGGAGCATCCCCCAGCCCCTGCATAAGGATCCGGGCTGGAGCAGCACCAGGAACATCCCCCAGCCCCTGGATAAGGATCCGGGCTGGAGCAGCACCGGGAGCATCCCCCAGCCCCTGGATAAGGATCTGAGTTGGAGCAGCACCAGGAACATCCCCCAGCCCCTGGATAAGGATCCGGGCTGGAGCAGCACCAGGAACATCCCCCAGCCCCTGGATAAGAGCTGGAGCAGCACCAGGAGCATCCCCCAGCCCCTGGATAAGGATTTGGGCTGGAGCAGCACCAGGAACATCCCCCAGCCCCTGGATAAGGATCTGAGCTGGAGCAGCACCAGGAGCATCCCCCAGCCCCTGGATAAGGATCGGGGTTTGAGCAGCACCAGGAGCATCCCCCAGCCCCTGGATAAGGATCGGGGCTTGAGCAGCACCAGGAGCATCCCCCAGCCCCTGGATAAGGATCGGGGCTTGAGCAGCACCAGGAGCATCCCCCAGCCCCTGGATAAGGATCCAGACTGGTCCAGCACCAGGAGCATCCCCCAGCCTCTGGATAAGGATTTGGGTTGGAGCAGCACCAGGAACATCCCCCAGCCCTTGGATAAGGATCGGAGCTGGAGCAGGACTGGGAGAAGCCCCCAGCCCTTGGATAAGAATCGGGGCTTGAGCAGCACCAGGAGCATCCCCCAGCCCCTGGATAAAAGCTGGAGTAGCACCAGGAACATCCCCCAGCCCCTGGATAAGGATCCGGGCTGGAGCAGCACCAGGAACATCCACCAGCATTAGGATAAGGGTCTGGGTAGGAGCAGAGCTGAAAGTAACCCTCATCCTAGGTAAGGATCTGGACTGGAGCAGGACTGGGAGCATCCCTCAGACCCTGGATAAGGATCGGGGCTTGAGCAGCACCAGAAGCATCCCTCAGCTCCTGAATAAGGATTTGGGCTGGAGCAGCACCAGGAACATCCCCAGACCCTGGATAAGGATCGGAGCTGGAGCAGGACTGGGAGAAGCCCCCAGCCCTTGGATAAGGATCA